GTTTCAAACAACGCTGTTCCGATGAAGTTAGAAAGTTCTGACAGAAGATATGTAGTTGTCAGAACGTCAGATTCTCATATGCAAGATACAGAATATTTTGACGACTTAGCAGAAACTTTGACACCTAACTTTTACAACCACTTGTTCTCATATTTTATGACATTAGATATTTCTAAGTTCAATCCAAGACAAATTCCACATACCGAAGAAAGACAAACATTGTTAGAAGCAAACAAGAGTGTATATGAACTGTTTATAGATGAGACTAACTTTGAGTGTTTAGATGAAAGGTCATTGTACGACTCGTATAAACAATATTGTCAAGAGTATGGTTATATGACAGCATCTAAACGAACATTCTTGGCAAATGTCAAAAATCTTTTATGTTACAGAACGGCGTATATACAAAGAAAAATTTTTCTGAGTAAATTTTAAAAAATATTTTTTTATCCGATAGAAAAGATGACGAAATTCATCTCAGTCAACAAGTACATGTCAGGACTTAAAGAAGAACTAGACCCATTCGCTTATTTGAATGTTTACTTCTACCATTTTGAAAAGTCTACATTTGACAAAGTTTGGAACATCGAACCAGTTAAGTTTGCTATTGTGACTAAAAATGGTGCGAAATTTGAAGACTTAGACATAGAAGGTTTGTTAGCAGTCAAAGAAAATTTTGACAGAAGGTTCTCAAACCTTAAAGAAGGCAAAGCATACAAACTTGTTATACCTTATGAACCAAAGAAAGCAGACGACTATGAATATTATGAGTCTAAGATAGTTGAAGTTCAAGGTAAATTGGGTAAAAAGATTTTAGAGTCTAAGCCAGTGTTTGCTCCTAAAGAGGAAGAGAACATTGACATTGACCCAGAAATGTTCTAAAAATAAAATTTTATTTTTACATGTCATTCTTTTCTCTGGCTGGTTCAGGTTCTTTCTTCTCTTCTTCTACTTTCTTTTCTTTCTTTTCTCTCTTCTTCTTCTTTTTCTGGTGGAGTTATGTCAAATTTCCGAACCATATTTATGTAAAAGTTCTTTGTCCTTTAATAGCTCTTCTATTCTGTTTTCTATTTCATCTTCAAGAACAGCGCATGTGTCTTCTTTGCATTCTAAGAACTTTTGTTGGACTTCATCTTTCCAATCGGCGTCATCTCTGTCAACAAGTCTGTCATTGACAAATTTTAAGACTGCTCTTTGTAATGTTTTATGGTTCTTGTCATATTCCCAGAAACAGAACTTTAGAACAAATTCACCTTTCTTGTTTACACTATGTAAGATTTTATGGTCGACAGATTTTGCTGTCGAAAAGTTTGTCTCGAATATAGATAGCGAAATCGCTAGACATTTTCAAAAAGATAAAAATTTTAATTTTTCTAAAAATATGTTAGAAAAAAAGTTTGCTGACATTGACAAAAATTTGAGAATGTTTTAAACAAGAACAAGAGGAAGTTGAAAAATGCTCAGATAAAACCCATACATGACAAGTTCTTATTTGCTCAGAATGGTATAACAGGTCTAATGCACCACCTGGGTCGGGTAAGACTTTCACTTATCTTAAAATGGCTGCACAACAACAAGAACTAGATGAGAAGAACCCATTCTATGAGTTAGTAGTCATTTGTAGTACTTCTGGTCAATTTGACCAAACCGTAAATTCGTTCAAAGATATTATAAAGAAAGTCTAAGTTAGTATGTATAAAAGACTCTGAGTTGTTAGATTGGATAAAGAAGTACCAAAGAAGAGTTTGAAGTACAATGCTATAAATGAGTATGTCAATTCGAAGTTTAAAGACCCAAATGAGGAAATGCAGAGAATATTAGAGAAGAAACACTTCAGAAACAAACAGAAAGAGATAGAATACATTTTCGAAGAAATTGCAATCTTACGATTGGAAGACTTACCCTCATAGATGTCTTCTTATCTTAGATGACTTTGCTTCTCATCCTTTGTTAAAGAACAGAGAACAAGACATGTGTCGAATTCTTAAGAAGCTCAGACACTTTAACATCTCAGTCGTAATATGTGTACAGACAGCAAAGAGTTAAGTAAGGATGTTAAAAGAATACTTACTGATATCATACTTTTCCCTGGATTGTCCGAAGACGATTTCATGGAACTTATGAAAGAGTCCATGGCAGGTAAGTTTGACAGACATGAACTCTGGGAGAAGTACAAAGTCATACAAGACCCTTCATACTTCTTTCAGATTCACAATCTACGCGAACAAAGTTCAAATTGTAAAAAGTCAAGCTTGAAAAATAAAGAGTTTTTGGCGACCAGGGTTTTTTCACTACTCGCTGTTCTTCTTCTCGGTTTTTCGAGGAAGCAAGGCATATGAGAAATTCATGAAATTTGGTCATTTTCAGCAAAAATATATTTTAGGTGAAGAGGTGAGATTTCACCTCTTTTTTCACCTCTTTTTTCACCTCAGTTATTTTATAAGCGTTTCACATGGTAAACGTTATTTTTTAAATTTTGTGAAACTCAACGGTTTGACACAAGCCCTAAAAATTATTTTACTCAGAATTTTGTTGCTGAATTCAATAAAAATATATTTTAGGTGAAGAGGTGAGATTTCACCTCTTTTTTCACCTCTTTTTTCACCTGTTATTTTATAAGCGTTTTACATGAATTGTATGATGTATATTTGAAATCCTAAAACAATTTCGTAGCTTCTATTTCTTCTGTCAGTACATCGAATGTTTTAACGATACCGAAAGTTTCTTTATACTTCTTCTTGACGTCAGATAGAAGGAAATCGTCAGCAGTTGGATAGTTTTTGTTCAGAAATGTCAACATGTCCATTTTATCTTCTGCTGGTTTCTCTGCTTCTTTCTTTAAATCTGCATAGTCGTTTCGCATACGTTCTATCTCTTTGACGGAGTAGTTATATTTCCTCATTGCTGCTTTACATTTGAACATTGCGGGTTCATTTTTGCGTTATATCTGAAACCTTACCTGCAAACAACTAAGGCGTCAATTGCTCTCTTTAACTCAAAAGTTGCTGGTTTATTTGTTCATTCCATATCTTACCTCTTCTATCTTTATCTCTTATCTGCCATACACATTTTGCAACTAACGAAACAAAGTTGTCGTAGGTCTTAAACTCCCAGATTTGTATATGTCAAGATGTTTATATACCATATCGCATCTTTGTCCATGACTTTGTGGTTGCAATGAAATCCAAGAAACTCATAGTTTACCTTTCGTATGAACTTCTTTATTTCTACTGAGTCAGTTGCTTTGACTTCTATTTTCATCGAATTCTGGAATAGTAAGCTTTTGTTGTTGATTTCAGGAAGTTTAGGTAGATGGTCAATAATGTCCTGCATTTCATAAAGATACTGTTCATTTGTTTCATCTTTCGCAGTACAATCTAAATCTCCTTGGAGAAGTTCTTGCTTTATCTTCTGGATCTGTTTCGAAAGTATATGAAGAAGGAATGAAGCTTTTCATCTCTACTAACATTGAAGTTGGGTTCATGACTAAAGAGTTTGGTGCTGTTGTTGCTAACATGTTCTTACAATAAAAATAAAAAAATATTTTTTTAAAAAAACCAACTTTATTTTTTATTTCGGGAAAATTCATGAGGTGAAAAAAGAGGTGAAAAAAGAGGTGAAATCTCACCTCTTCACCTAAAATATATTTTTGTCTGATTTACGCTCATTACGATGAAGTTTCGACAAAACATTTACGTTCATGTTTGACAAAACATTTACGATGAAATCATGAAAATTCATGAGGTGAAAAAAGAGGTGAAAAAAGAGGTGAAATCTCACCTCTTCACCTAAAATATATTTTTATTGAATTCAGCAACAAAGTTCAAATTGTAAAAAGTCAAGCTTGAAAAATCTAAGTGTTTAGTCTTAGTAAGATGGTAGCTTCTTAAAGCATATGCCGTCCTTGAGTTTTATGTACGTGAAGAGAAGTACAATGAATTCAATTACGAGTACAATTGCAATGACAACTAAGGCAACTATTTTTGTCTTTTGCCAGCAAGGGTACTTCTTCTCTTCCAATGGTTCGGAGAACTATACTCACTCATGAGAAATGCCAAAACGGTTTAATAGAAAAAGTGTCATTTTTTCATGTCCGAAGACTCGAAGGTGCAACACTTCCAAAATACCGACGAACTCAGAAGAGCAGCATGGCAGTATCTTCTTGACAACTTCTTTGAGTTCTCCAGGTACACCTTGGAAAATGCTGAAGAACTCCGACACAGAGAATTTGGAGAAATTGCACTCCAATACTACCTTGACAAACAAAGGGTAAACAAAGGGTAAAATAAGACTAAAAACTTAACGTTTAAAAAGTGACATTTTTATGAGCTCCGAGTCACCGAGAAAACTTGGTCAGATGTTAGCAGCTTACTTCCCTGAGGAGGATGGAAGCGTTACATACGTAAGGTTCAAAAACAACGAACCTGGAATTGCGTACCAAATTCGCAATTACATGACCATGGAAGAGTACGAAAGGTTTCTACAAGAGAAACCAGCTCTAAACAACTCAGAAAAGAAAGAGTAAAAAGTTTAACTCGTAATTGTTTATTTTTTTACTTGTATGGGCAAGCTGCAAGAATGAAGTCGACTATCTCAGTCTTTGTCTTGACCAGTTGGACTGCTCTTGCGAGTACGTCTGTTTTGCGGTCTCCAGCTGGTGTCTGACCTTCGTAATTGCGCATGTTCTTGAGAGCTCCAACTGTAAATGGCTGTAAGATGAAGAGTCTCTCAGACTGCTTGAGGTAGTCTTCACGGTCACGAACCGAATCTGTGGTACGAGTCGAATTGGTCGACCTTAGGGAAGAGACTGAAAGCCTGTCATCTTCCATAGGGGCTGTGGCATACTCTTTGCGTAAACGGTTCAGACCTTCTTCGAACTCTTGGTCTCTCTTCGATTGGGATTGAGATTGGAATTGGGGTGGAGGGTTTGACATGAACATCCAAGGGTTAGGGAAGTAAGGCATGGGTTGAGGAGAGGAGGGTAGTTTGGAAAGCCTTGTGGTGGGTAGTTTGGAAAGCCTTGTGGTGGGTAGTAACCTTGAGGTGGAAATTGGTAGTAATTCGGAGGTCCTTGTTGGAACTGAGGTTGCTGAGGAGACTGTTGTGGTGCTGGAGCATGCTGTTCCTCTGGCTGTGGAACGGGTTCAGTAGGTGGGACGTCGGACATTCGTTTGTGTCTTAACCGTCTTTGTTCTGAAACAATATAATATTGTCTTGAAAAAGTACAACATTGTCTTGAAAAAGTACAACATTGTCTTGAAAAAGTACAACATTGTCTTGAAAAAGTACAACATTGTCTTGAAAAAGTACAACATTGTCTTGAAAAAGTACAACATTGTTCTGAAAAAGTTCAAGACTTGTTCTGAAAAAGTACAGCTGTACTCAAATTTGAGAGACATTGTACTGAATTTATACAACATTGTTCTGAAAAAGTACAACATTGTTCTGAAAAAGTACAATATTGTCTTGAAAAAGTACAACATTGTCTTGAAAAAGTACAACATTGTCTTGAAAAAGTACAATATTGTACTGACTCAGTATGGAGCTTGACCCCTTAGACGAAGCAATTTATCTAATTGAGGTAAATGAAACCGTGAAGGAATATCTCAGCAAGTGCAAACCAAGCAAGTCCATTGGCTTCTGGTTGTCCAAGAATAGTGTCTTAAAGTTGGAAATTGAAACAGGTGTTGCAATTCAAGTTCCAGAAGGCACTGCATTCGATGATATTAAGGATGTGAAGAAAGAAGCCCTCTTGAAGTTCTTCATGAAACGTCCTTGGATACTACTTCCATATCGTGAGAGCCCAATTCCACGAATTACACAAATTCTCAGAGCACTACTTCACTACTCTGGACAGCCGTTCTTCATAACCTCAGAAGGCGACATCCAACCAATTCTTCAGCCAGTTCAGTAAACATCTCATTTTAACTTCACTTTTTTTTATGTTTTTACTCACACTCGTACTCAACAGGTTTGTGTACAACTATTTCAACTGTGAACCTTGTATTGACCGGTCTTCCTGCAAATGCAAGTTCGGTCAATACACAATTTATGGTGGCAAGAAAGACAGTGGGGAATGTTATTCTGACATCTGTTGTTGCGCTCGAGAGAGAATTGAAATTCCAGACCCAACTCCAACACCAACACTCAAGTTGCCAAAGACTCATGTGAAGAAGAAGCCTTCTGGTAAGTTTCTTATAGCCATATACATGGCACGCTTTGAGTAAAAACATTTTTTTCATTTTTTGAATGAAGCAAGTTAAATTCGTCCCACACCAATCTCAATGGACCGATGAAGAGTTTCAAGCCATGGTTGAAGGCGTTGAGAACGACATAGACGGCGAACTTGAAGGAGCTCAAACCACAATTGCAACCAAAATTGCAGAGTCAAGGAACAGATAGCTCCACTTAAAGCTACCAAAGCTACTCTTGACCTCATGGATAGTTACCGTTTAGAAGTAAAGAGTGGAATAAGACAATTAAAATTAAAACTTCTAAACTACGAAGCTATACTCCAAAAGTTAGCAGAAATGAGAAGACTTTACCAGAGCTACTTACATGTAAGGGACTTACCTTCAAGCAGTCCGACCAAAGATGAATTTTCTGACATTGTCCCAATTTTGTCCGAAAGTCAGCTCAGATGTTTTGAACTGCTCCCAACATATCCAGAATATGAACGTTTGCCTGAACTCTTCCGCAATCTCAAAAAACGTTTTTTGGTTCTCATGTTCGAAACTTTTATCGGAAGAGACAACAAACGTTCAGAAGAAGAACAAGATATTATTTTAAACTTGTTGTATGACATAACTGTCATAACAAGCTTTTTGAAGTAAAACCGTCATTCTCAAACCACTTCATTTTTTCGATGTCCGAACAAGCACCGAAGCCAAACTCAATGGCAGATGTCCTTTCAATGTTGCCAGAAAGCGCCCAGTTCAAATTCAAATTGAATTTGAAAGCTCATCTGACAAACACCGTTAAGACTCTCCAAAGTAGTCTTATGGAAGAGATGACCAAGCTCAAAGCCGATGTCCTCATGAACCAAGCTTCCAATGAGAAATCCTGAATGATTTGACGGAAACCTTGCGCATTTACGCGAGAGAGAACCGAGACCTTGCCAGACTCATCTACCGTTTCTTCGAAGAGATAGACGCCATCTGGAAGGTACTCGGAAAGGACAGAACATGCAACACCGTACTTCGTGAACACAGAATTGAAGAAGGAATTGTCGAGGAAGAAGAGAAACACGAAGAAGAGGAAGAGGAAGAAGAGGAAGAAGAGAAACACGAAGAAGAGGAAGTTTGGGCAACCCTTGTTGCCGATGACACTTACGAAATTTCCCAACCCTACCCATACCAAATCCGCAACAAGGAGACAGGCAAGGTTCTTACCCCAGTCCTCAACAACTTGGGACACTTGAACCTTACCCTTCGGAATTACGGTTCAATCCATGGGCAAGCTTGTCGCAATTCAATGGGTTCCAAATCCAAACAAGAAGACGAAGGTCAGACACATTGACGGTGACAAGCTCAACAACCGTAAGGAGAACCTCGAGTGGTTCTAAGAGTAAAAAAATTTTATTTTAGGGGGAAACCCCAAGTAAATTTAGGTGTTTATTTGGTAAGTGTAAATTAAGGTAATTTGGACAATTAGTTCCTGACCTTGAATTGGACTCTTTCGTCATCCCAGTTGCGTAGGAGGTCGTCCCAGAGGAGTTGGTAGAATTGCCAATCCAAGGACGATTTGTCCTCCCAGGCATTGAGGATGTACTGCTCGTAGAGTCTCATGACCTCTGCCTTGCACCAGACACCCTCTCCCTTGGAACGTAAGGCTTCTTCGAAGTGCTCGAATGCGATTGGCTGCGGACCATCGAAATGACACTTTTTGTCCGTTTGGTCAATGTTCGTGTCTCGTGCCATAGTCGACGAAAATACAGACAAACAGGTTATATATGAGTTTGAGACCAAGAATGGTGTAACTCGACCTGTCCGATTCAAATTCGAATAAAAATTTTTTATTTCATGCAATGTTTTATTTCTGTGCCGTCTTCAAGTATGCCCCAGTACTTACGCTTGGAGAGGACATGAACTTCGGTGAAAATTTTGTCCAATTTGAATTGACCCATCTTTTCACCGACCATTCCCATTTCAATGAGTTTGTTGTATCCTTCTTCGTTCGTCATGAGTGCGTCAATGTTCTCATAGTAAACCTTCACTTTGGATTTGACTTCGGAGAAGAATTTGTTGTAGTTGTCAAGGACTGCCTTTGCGAACTGAGGGTAAGACCAATGTTCGACAATAGGTTTTAATGTGGTTACTAAGCCACTTTGACCTTGAGTGAATTCGTACTTCAAAACAAAAGGAGAAAACCTTTCAACAAAGTTGTCGACCTTCTCATAGTGTTTACTCTTCATCTCTTGAGGTTTCTTAATGGAATATCCCCATGTCGAATTCATAAGCAATTTGAGTGTCATTGCAAGTTTGGGGTTTGAAGCTTTCCTAATATCATACAGTTGTTGTATGACTTTTCCAACTGTATAGTTCCTTCCTGGGAACTCACCATCTTCGTTTGGAATTCCAGTCGGGATATATTGGACGAACCTCATGTACGCAGCGTTAAGGTCGACATAGTATATCTTTTCATCTGAGTCGAACTTGTCGCAACCAATGGGTCCAGTTCGTGGAAATTCAAGTGAGTCTCTTATCTTCTGAGAAACTTCTCCTGTTATCTCATAAACATCGTCGAAGCAACCTGTTTCATATAAAACCTTCTGACCTAACTCAGATGCTCTCCAATACAATTTGACGTCAATTGGATGTCTCAATGGAAGTTTGTTTATAGCATCTTGAAGTTCTTGCAACCTCATTGGAAGTTCTTCTGGTTCAGGTTGGTATCCGAACAATCCAACTCCTTTTGGAACTGTGTACTTCTTTTGTGCTAGAACTTTGTCTGGAACAACTTTTGGTCTTGCTAACAATGAAAAGTTTGTTTCGTCTTTTGGTACAAAAGTTTCTGTCAGCTTGTCATCTGGAATTGGTTCCAACAAACCTTTCTCGAAAAGAATGTTTACAGCTCTGACAATGTTGCACTTGCCTTTTCCGAACAATGGGTTTGTAAGACTTTCGTTCAACATGAAGTGGTTGTGGACAATTACAATCTTCAACCATGGTAAGTCTTTGTCAACAACATAGTCGTCATGTGAAGAACCTTTCTCAGTCGGAATGTTGACTCGGATATTGACATTTGCCAACGGTGCAATTTTTGCCAATTGACCTCTGAGAATGTACCTTGTCTTCACACATGACTCAAGATACTTCATCTTCTCTTCTGTAACAAGACCAGAGTTCCTGAGACATGTAAGAATACAAGGTTCATTGACAATTGTTTCAATTGAATTGTAAATTCCATACCTTGTCAAGTCAATGTCAGACTTATTTATGAACGGGAAGTATCCAGCATGTTGTCTGACTGCTTGAGGGTTAGGTTGGTACCATTCGAACTTACACTTGCAATTCCTTCAATTGCATTCAAAATGTCTGAGTCGGAGTCAACCATTTGTTCTCTCTTTGTAGTCTTGAAAGCGTCAAGAAGTTGTGCGGCTGTTGTGACATTGCCATGTGCATAGTAAATGTGACCGTCCAAATCTGTTACGGTAGTCTGAGATTGTATCCTTTCTTATTTCCGTCTTGAATTGCAGCAAGTACCATGAAGCCTTCTTTGTTCTTTCCTTCGTCAAAGTTTACTGTAAAGGTTCGACCAGATGTAATTTGACTTCTAACTTCACGATACTTCTCATATGCATATCTTGTTCTTTCCATGGGAGCATTGTCTTCACCTTTTCCTTTTTTCCTTCTCAAAGGATGCAATTGTTCGTCATGTTTCCAGTAGAATCTGGCAAAGCCGTCGTGTCCTTCAACTTGAGGTTCAAACATCGAAAGGCATGTCCATAAGACGTTCTTCTTCTAACCTCTCTAGTCTGTTTGGATAATTTGCGCGTGCTGTTTCCAAGTCCATTTCATAGCGAAGACCAGCAATTTGTCATAGACTTTTATGGGTCTTCCCTTCCTATATTTAAACTTCTTTGAAACTTTCCAACCATATCTTTCTAACTCTGCTTTTATTCTAGCAGATTTTCTATCCATTCTATATGGGGGCATTTTTATAAAAATAAAAAAATATATTTTTTTCTTTACTTTACATAACCGCCTGCTGCCATAAGTCTTTGACGCCAACCCATACCAGCTAATGAAGGTTGACTAACTTTGGTTTTGGTTTATCTCAGTTTTTGGCTTCCCTTCTTCTATCGGTTTTTCGTCACTTTTCGGTTCCTCTGACTTTACCTCACTTGCAGGAACAGTTGTTCGTCAACATCTTCATAAATATCATATGCCATTTGTTTTTGTTTTCCTTTCAACTTTTTGTGTTTGTTGTAAAGTTTAGAATATTTCGACTCTAATCAATGAGATGTTCTATAATGAACTGTTGGTCAGTGAAGTAAACTTTTCCATCTGTTGTCTCGAAAGCTCCTTCAGACTTCAATATTTTATTTGTGAGAGTCTGTTTCTTTTTTGAGATACTAGCCGTTCCATTTCTATGAAAAGTGACTTTTATAGTTAGGGTTTGCATTTCAGACCTGGCACTTTCTATTATTGAATTTTTCTCTTCATCTGTAAGTTCTTTGACAGGTTTTGACAATGGTTCTGAACTTTTTGTTTGTGGTGTCAAATCTACCGTTTCAACTTCTTCGGTCATTTCATCTCAGTAAAAAATTTTAGTTTGGTTTGTTTTCAACTGGTTGTTTAGGTTTTTTAAGTCGGTCTAAAACTTCCTGAGGTATAGGAAGAACTTGACAAACACGTGGTGTGTAACTGCTGGAAGTCGACAAATCCATCTTGAACCCATTTGTCTCAATGCTGTATTGTTCATTTCATCTCAGTAAAAAAATTTACATTCCCACGTTTGAGGCGGTTAGGTTGGTTGTTGTTTACCCACTGTTGTGCATGGTTATATCCTCTGTTAAAGAATCTTTCACCTTGGTCCATATATGTCCTGCTTGGTTATAGTAGTCATTTGCTTTGTTATAATAGTTTCCTGCTTGTCTTCTACATTGTCCATCCATCCTTGAACTTTTCCTCTTGTTTCAGGATTTGGAATAAGATTTGTTGCATCTCGTGCTACATCCCAACCTTTCTGTACAGTTTGTATAATAGGTTGTGCTTTCTCTTTAAGTATACCTAATGTACTCAAAATCTTCCTTCCAATTCCAAATGCACCTCTGGCTATTGTTCCCACTGCGGTAAAAATCTAGATGCGACTCCTGCTAATGCGCCAAATAAACCCATTTCTTATAGGGTAAAAAATGACGAATCCGAACAAGGACCCCTATGTTTCTAAAGCGACAAAGAAAGCACTCATGATAAAAATCTTTAGTTCAACACCAAATGCTTGGTTTATGGATATCTTGGAAAACATTCCGAGTATAGAGAAGATGGGCCACCATACTGGCTAATATTTGTTGGTCAAAACACAAGATACTGTGAGCCATACATTACAGTCCAAAAATATTTTAGATGTGAAAACTGCTTTGACAATATTCGTTGACAAATACCATCCAACAAAACTGACATCTGACTGTGAAAGTTCTTTCAAATCAGACGATATTAAAAAACTATCTGCGTTCAAAAAATGTAAACCAATATTTCATTGTCGACCAAAACCATTCTGCTCTTGGTGTCATTGACAGTTGTATAAAAATCTTAAGAGACTTAAACCAACCACAAGGTGGTGAAGCAAATGAAATGTCATATGACGACAAATACAGACATTTCTCCATGGCAAAGATGAGACAAGTTTTAAATATTTAATAACCGTAAACAAAAAGGTTTGGGAAACCACTCCCCCGAAGAAATGAAAAACAACCCTGACTTAGAGAAAGACTATATATTAATAGTTTCGTCAAAAGAGACAAACAAGAAAGAATGCCAGGCTTCAAACTTAAGAAAGGTGACAAAGTAAAAATAGAAATACCTAAACGCGACCCATATGAAAATACTATTGACTATGACAACAATGGGAACCCGACAGGTACTCACATTCGTGTTCGTAAAAATAGAAGAAAGTATACAAGAGAATATTATGAAGTTTTAGGCAAACATGGCAAAAGTACACACTGCAAGCAGAAGATAAAACTACTATTGTCAGACCTCGTTTCAAACTTGTTAAGGTTCAAGGTGGTATACTTTCAAAGACAGTTCCTAACAAATATAAGACAACTCCTGACGAATATGCTAAAGAAGTTGAAAATGACGACTAAGCGTTTCTATACCATGCGTAAACTGTCATGTAAGGTGGCATGTAGTCTTTACTTTGTCCCGTTGTTTGCGTATACCCTGTAACGCGATGTGTATGGTTTCCTTCTCCCTGAGTGTCACTCCAGTAACAATTTATAGCAAACTTAACCTCGTCTTTAACATCATATCCTTTACCTTTTGTCATTCCTGACCAATCCCAATATCTATGCTTATGCCAACCTGCTTGAGATGTACTTAAATCTACGTAGTGACTATGCGCAGGTAAATTTGCACCTGAAATCGTTTTACTTCCACCTGTTTCCTTTGAAGAGTTTGCACAATACAAAAACCTGTCGACTATTTGAGTCCAAGTTCCAAAACCAAGTACTACTTCTGGTCTGGTAGAGTTCATTGACGTGTAAATAGAACCTATAGGATATACTGTTTGAAGTATTTCTGTCTTTAACGTTTGAAGCTCTGTTTTGTCAGCTTTTTTATATAACTTTTCTTCAAGTTCATTTACGTCAGAGATGCTATGTCTATGATATTTTTGTGGGTATGTTCCTTCTGTCCATGTGAAAATATACTCTTTTGTTGCATCTACATATCCTTTTATCCATGTCGAGTCTGCTTTTGTATTCCTTAACTCTGTAACACCTTTCTCAAGCTCTTTCAACTGTTGTCCATCTTCATTAAACTCTGGTATGACTTGAAACCGTTTGTGCCAACATATCTACAGTTTCTTTGTCGGCTTTAAGGTCTAAACACCCTGAAACCCATCCTGTATCAGCTTTCGTTTTTAAAATCTTCGATGTCCGTTCATTATACCATTCAACCCTTTCTTTAATTTCATTGTCTTTTTCATCCACATATTCCTTATCTGCCTTCTTCACTAACGCACTAGCCACACATTCTAACTCATCGTTAACATATGTTTTATCTGCTTTCTTTTCAACATCCTCTTTTGTTGCATATGTTGCATCTGCTCTGTCATGTTCTTCTTGAACTTTTTCAATGACATATTCTTTGTCAGCTTTGTTGTCAATATCTGCCTTCAAAAGAAGTTCATCTATAGGTTTCTCGTTTAAAGTTCCTTTTGTTGGATTTACACAGACAGTATGGTTCTTACTGTCTTGAAACAGAAACTCGTCTGTCATTGGGTTTATCGTCAGTTTTAAGTTTCCTTCTTTCAATGACTCAGATATCTTAGAATAGTTTGAAAAGTTTGTTGTGTTCTTATTTAGAGCTTGTACAATGAGTTGTCGGTTGTGTTGTATTTCTCTCATAGACGCTGTTTCTTTCGACATTTTTATTCTAGATAAAATATGCTTTCAATAGAAAAAGAAAATTCAAGAGTTGCTACAACTAAACCATTAGATGAACTTTTTACGAATGTCGGTCAAAAGTTTGAGACAGAGACCGTAAAGCACGAAGGCTATCGTTTTGACTACCCATTGAGATGGTTAAGAGACCCATCCGTCACAAAAGCTATTGGCTTTCGTAGAATGAAATTCATTTCAGAAGCCATACATGGTTTCCCATTTACGGTCGCTTTTGAAATTCGATACTATAACAAAGAGAAACGTACGTATGAGAAATTTGAACAGGGAAAACTTTTACAAGTGAATTTGCTTGTAAACTTAGAAACAACTCTTCAAGCTTTTCAAGAAAAAATAAACGATATCTATCTCGAATATGCAAAACAGTACAACATCGACGAAGGAGAGTACCATCTCGATATTTTATATGACAGGAAAAATGCAACTGTTAAAATCAATAGAATAGAAGACCTTGGAGAAGACGTTTATATTTCTACAAAATATAACAACTTGGCATGGTATAGATTTTTGAGGATGTTAAATCAGCCTGCAGAATATCCAGTACACCCGAACTTTTATGAAGTCGAAAACCCTAATGGAACATATGAAAATGTTTTCGACCAAGATGCTATTATAGTTCATGCTTCATTTTCTGGCGCCCAAAACTCTTTTTTATGCTTGGCAAATGACTTTTACGAAAAACCTACAAAGCTATATGAACCGCCGAGTGGAAGTATTTCAGACTTTCAAGTATGGTTTACTACAGATGGAAGAAAGAGAATAATTCCATTATACCACGCGTTTTACTTAGAACTTTAGTTTCATATACAACACTATCGAACGGTAAAAATATAATTTTAATACGGTTGAGGGTTGGATTTGTGCCAACTAGATGTGGTGCAGGTTCAGGCTGTTGTATAACAGGAGCTTGTTCTTCTGGTTTCAGGGTCTTTAGGTATAATACCAACGAACTGACCTACTCTTTTACCAATATTTTTGACACCGTTCCAAATTCCTTTTCCGACAGATTTTATTCCATTCCATATACCTCTTCCAACATTTCGAAAGAAGTTTCCTATTTACTGAAGAAACCCATTTTACTATATGTAAAAATCTAATGTCCGCCTAGTCTCTTACGTTCCTTCTGAGTTCCATAGCATTCTTTAACTGGAGCTCATACATTCTTTCTCCTCTGGTAGAAAACATATTCTGGGTCAACTCCTGTGTTCGCGTCATCTGCATAAAGTTGTTTATATCCCACTTCAGGGTTTGTATAAAACTCTTTCCATCTCATATTTGCATACCATGGTGGCAAACCTAACGCAGCGTCATTTGACATGGCAGTTTGCATTTGTACATCTGTTGGCACTTGACCATAGTTTGCCATTGCAGTTGTATTTTATTCTAACTTCATTTGGAATATTCTCTGGGTTTGGTTGTCCAGGTTGCGCATTCGCTAAGTTCTGTGCGTCCATTTAATATTAGATAAAAATATCTCTTACGAGTACATATACTGAACATTTGCAGGCATTGGTTCATCTTCATATTCTCTGTACTTTTCTGCCACGTCAAATAAGTAAATGACACAATGGAAAAAACCTAAAACAAGTAGTCCTATTTCAAACCACATTTACTTACCAATAAAATTTCTTTGTTATGACACTTTCTCCAGTTTATAGGACCTCTCTCATATTCTATCTTATCGTATCTAAACTCATAGTCATGTATGTCCTCTAACCATCTCATAACGGTTTCCAAACCACTTTTATCGGATGTAAAGTAAAAGCATGGATGGTTATGTAAAACGTCTAAAGTTTCTAAAGAGTCTCTCAAAGTCCAGTCTACTTGGTATTGAAAATCCCATGTGTTATAGAACGGCGGGTCCACTATAAAGAAAACATTTTCCTTGTCTTTATATTTTTCATACAACTCTGTCCAATGACATCTCACAAACTCTATACCCTCAATATATTTTTCTATGTCCTCTTTGAAAACATTTGTATAGTTAAGATATAAAACTTTTGACATAAGTGTTTCAATGTCATGAACTCTTATAGCACCACTATATAATAGTCTAGCAGATATACTATCCCAGTCTATATATTCTGCTTTTTTCAAAACCTCTCTCACAATATTTTTCTTATCTAATGGTATACGTTCCATCTTACCTATAGGTATCTTTTCTTTTAACTCTTTCAATATATTGTTTGTGTCTGGTATATGTTTGAGACGGTCCATATAGTTGTCGAAGTCATTGCATATAATCTTTGAGTCTGGAAATATTGTATGGCACAGATGGGATATATAGAAACTTCCACCGAACAAATCTACAAATGTTAGACCATTCGGTAGTTTCTTAAGTTCTCTCAATATAATATCTTTACATTTACTCTTATTTCCAAAGAACGGTAACGGTGGTTTTGTAAAATTCATTTATATATAATAATAAAAATGTTTTTCCCTGAAAAGTGACAGAAAAGCGGCTTTTGACAGATGTTTATTGTGACTTCTTCGTAAAGACTTTGTTGAGATTTCTTCGTAAAGACTTTGTTGAGATTTCTTCGTAAATGAGTGTAAATGACCCAAAAATATATTTTAGGTGAAGAGGTGAGATTTCACCTCTTTTTTCACCTCTTTTTTCACCTCATGAATTTTCATGATTTCATCGTAAATGTTTTGTCAAAACTTCTTCATCTAATTTCTCATGAACTTTCTTGTCTATGTTTTGTCAAGATTTCATCGTAAAGACTTTGTTGAGATTTCTTCGTAAATGACCCTAGTAGTATATTTTTGGTGTAAATTTCATGAAAATTCAAGAGGGTGAAAAATTAGGTGAAAAAACAGGTGAAATCTCACCTCTTCACCTAAACATTATTTTTGGTGTAAATTTCATGAAAATTCAAGAGGGTGAAAAATTAGGTGAAAAAACAGGTGAAATCTCACCTCTTCACCTAAACATTATTTTTGGTGTAAAATTCTGAGTAAAATGACAGATGGAACACATACTTTTTCAGTAAGTACATATGGGGTAGAAAAGAGGGTAGAAAACGGGGTAGATATACCCTTCTACCCTAAAATATATTTTTGTCTGATTTACGCTCATTACGATGAAGTTTTGACAAAGTCTTTACGAAGAAATCTTGACAAAGTCTTTACGATGAAGTTTTGACAAAGTCTTTACGATGAAGTTTTGACAAAGTCTTTACGATGAAGTTTTGACAAAGTCTTTACGATGAAATCTTGACAAAGTCTTTACGATGAAATCTTGACAAAGTCTTTACGATGAAATTCATGAAAATTCAAGAGGTGAAAAATGAGGTGAAAAAACAGGTGAAATCTCACCTCTTCACCTAAAATATATTTTTATTGAATTCTGTATAATATTCTGAGTAATATGACAGATGTTTATATAACACTTTCTCCGGTTTATAGGACCTCTCTCATATTCTATCTTGTCATATCAAAACTCATAGTCATGTTTGTCCTCTAAGACTTCATTTATACTAAACATCTTCAGGGCTAGAAGGCACGAAGTGCCTGGAAGCCCCACTTCCCTTTTTTTTTTTTTTTTTTTTTTTTTTTTTTTTTAACCTAATACATAACATCACAAAAAACATAAATCCTTCGGCAAAAATATCAAATGATTCAATTTCAAATATCAAATTTCTAAAAATCATCAATAATGCCACCATTTTATTTCAAAAATATATAGAAACTAAAATATAGCATTCTCTTGCTTCTTTCAGACTTAAATAATGCAAAATTTACATTTTTTTTTCAAAACTTCGCTCATCCAAGAATTGCCAAGCTTGGCAATTCGTGATGAACAAAACTTGCGCTTTTGGCAGTTCCGACATCCTTATTTCAATTTGATTTCATCAAATCAATCTCGAAATAGCTAAGATATCTAAGTTTTTTATTAATCATAAAGAATTAAACTTTACTCTTGCATAGCAATAGCTATATGAGCAGCCTGAATATAATCTTTTCCCTAATGATATTTTGGAATTTTTTTCATATTGAAATCGAAGTTAAAATGATGAATAGAATGTCATTGCTAACACTTTTAATGAACTTTCTTCATATGCTCTTGAGTATATCAACATATGTTAAAATTCTAGAGAAAAGTATTGTCAATGAAGGTCCTTACTAAGTTTTAACTATCACAAATAGACAGGTTATTAAGATTGCAAGTTTTCATGAGTATATAAATGCTACATAAAGATTTCAAAACAGAAATTGTTGCTAATAATATGTTCCATACAAAACAAATGATATAATTTATTTCCATAGAGCATATATTATTGGTAATCTTTCAAGAATGTTCCCGAAATTTATTCTTCGCCCAAATTGACAAAGCGGTTTTTTTCTCCATATTGATAAATAAAATGCGTCTTGATTTCTTTCCGAAGTTTATTGATAGTGCTATGACGCACAAAACTGCGTGCGGTGCCTTCAACTCTATTTTGATGATTGCATGCGCATTAGCATTATGCATTTCAGAAATATATGCTTATGCAAAACCAGCCTTACACGAACAATTAGTTTCTGTATCAGACCTTCGTGGTGCTCTCGATCAATTGTCAATTTCTTTCAACTTTACAGTTTCAGTTCCATGCGTTCTTCTCCATCTTGATGTTTTCGATATGATGGGTTCTGGAAACAGACCAGACCAAAAAACACTATACAAGGTAAGAGTTGATCAGAATGGAAATCCAATTCCACAAACTCAAATTGCTGAAGATTGTGGACCATGTTACGGTGCGGAATCAAGCCAAAGAAAATGCTGCCAAACATGCGAAGATGTTGTCGCAGCATATCAAGAGAAGGGCTGGGGAATTGGAAATCTTTCATCCTGGGCACAATGCAGAGCTGAAGGAGTTATGTTTGACGGAAAAGAAAGATGCCAAGCTTATGGTAACCTTCATGTTAATGCCATTGAAGGTGGTTTCCATTTAGCCCCTGGTATCAACGTTTTCTCTCGTTTTGGCCACGTCCATGATTTTTCACCACTTGTTGATACATTAAACCTTACTCACGAGATTGAGCATATAAGCTTTGGTGCTCCTATTGATAAATCACCACTTGATAACACCCGTGTCGTTCAAAAGAAGCCAGGACAAATTCATTACAGATATAATCTCAAAGCAGTTCCTACAGTTAAGGAAGTCAATGGCAAAGTCCATCGCTTCTTCAGATTTACAGTTAACTACGCAGAAATTCCAGTTACAGCTCGTGGAAGATATGGTCCTGGAATCTTCTTCGTTTATAGCTTCGCTCCAGTTGCTATTACAAGTACATACGATCGTCCAAATATTACTGTTCTTTTGGCTAGACTTATCTCTATTTTTGGAGGTTCTTTCATGCTCGCTCGCCTTATTGACTCATTCACTTATAGACTTAACACAATCGAAGGCAAAGATAGAATTAACAAATTCGAATAAACTAAATGTTATTGCTCAACAAAAAAAAAATTAAAATTTTATTATTTATTATTATTGATAAAATTATCTGAATTTATTTAATTTAGCAAGAAAGAGTTCTTATCCAATTGTAATTTTAATATTTGTCTCATAATTTTTTATCAAATTCGATAGCTGCATTTACCCTGTAAGCCAATAATACTTTCTCTTTTTCTTTAGCAGTATGAATGATTGAATTGACGAAAAAAATCAAAGTAAACTAAATCGAAAATATAGTTAAATAAGAAACTTCTAATTTATAAATATTATAAACAACAAAACAAATAGAGGTAAATTTAATGCGCAACTGCTAATTCATCTCTCCTGAAATATATTTTTTAATTTGATCTTTTGGACCTTGCAAATTTGTAAAATCTAGAACGTTATAATGGCATGGTGTATATCCGGATGTAGATAATTTGTTAATGGCAGCAACAACATCACCACAACAATGGTGAATTTCTTCTAGAATGGTTTGATACGTATATTTTTCATTGAAAAAGGATGCGATTGAGATAACTGTTTCAAGCAGTGGTGATTTTGTTTCAACTTTGCTTTCATCGGGGGTCTTTGCTATTACTTTTACATTTATTTTATTCTCGAGAGGAAGCGTTGCGTTTTCTTCAAGAGAATTTAGAACACGGCTATATGATTGAACTTCTTTCAATAGTTTAACTTTTCGTTCATAGTCTGGAAGTTTCATATAATCCTCTTTTATTTTTACATCTTCTGGTGTAAGAATTACATTTCTTTGTTGTTCCCATGGAAAACCCGGAAGATAATTCCGCATTTCCATTTGAAAAACAAAAAAGAACTAAGAATTCAAAGAAAAATAATAAACCTAACCAAAAAAAGTGTCATTACCATATGGGGATTGAAAAAAATAATCTTGTAAAATTTTGTTTTAATTTGAATAGTTTCCAAGAGTGGTGTTGTTCTGTCTTTTGACGATAAACTTAAAATCAAAAAAGTGTCAAATCTGATGGAAAAGCACAAATCATATTACAAGCGACTTTTCGGTATATAGAATCGAATATGCTTCAAAATATTATTGAGATATTAGTGTTTGTTAATACTCTATATCATTTAATTTCATTTTTAAAGTTTAGTAGTATGATAGGATGGGTTGTGTGACTTTTTTTGTAAACGTAAGAATTCATGCAATATCGAGCGATTTTGTATCATTTTTTTTAACATATGAAGTAAAAAATGTATGATTCTGACGGTTTTTATTCTTACGTTTTTGAATAAATCAAGATTTAAAAAATTTTCAAAATTGTAAGACATTTACACTCAGCCCATACATAATGAAATAAAAAATAAATCATTAAAAAATTAACATTAATTTTAAAATAATTTTTTTTATCTTTTATAAAAGAAGCTATATATAGATGATGTCAGATATTCCGCGATTAATTAAACATTGTTTAAAAAAAAAAAAAAAAAAAAAAAAAAAAGGTAGTGGGGCTTCCAGGCACTTCGTGCCTTCTAGCCCTGATGTTGATGTTTAGTATAAATGAAGTTTTTATTCGGAGGACTCTTCTTCTTCCTCCATTGCTTCTGGGAAGAAGCCTTCTTCTGGGTCGAAAACATTATATAATGTGTCGCTTTTCACAAATTATATAATGTTTTCATGTTTTGTCACTTTTCTGTCACTTTTCGGGTAAAAACATTTTTATTATTATATATAAATGAATTTTACAAAACCACCGTTACCGTTCTTTGGAAATAAGAGTAAATGTAAAGATATTATATTGAGAGAACTTAAGAAACTACCGAATGGTCTAACATTTGTAGATTTGTTCGGTGGAAGTTTCTATATATCCCATTTGTGCCATATAATATTCCCAGACTCAAAGATTATATGCAATGACTTCGACAACTATATGGACCGTCTCAAACATATACCAGACACAAACAATATATTGAAAGAGTTAAAAGAAAAGATACCTATAGGTAAGATGGAACGTATACCATTAGATAAGAAAAATATTGTGAGAGAGGTTTTGAAAAAAGCAGAATATATAGACTGGAATAGTATATCTGCTAGACTATTATATAGTGGTGCTATAAGAGTTCATGACATTGAAACACTTATGTCAAAAGTTTTATATCTTAACTATACAAATGTTTTCAAAGAGGACATAGAAAAATATATTGAGGGTATAGAGTTTGTGAGATGTCATTGGACAGAGTTGTATGAAAAATATAAAAACAAGGAAAATGTTTTCTTTATAGTGGACCCGCCGTTCTTTAACACATGGGATTTTCAATACCAAGTAGACTGGACTTTGAGAGACTCTTTAGAAACTTTAGACGTTTTACATAACCATCCATGCTTTTACTTTACATCCGATAAAAGTGGTTTGGAAACCGTTATGAGATGGTTAGAGGACATACATGACTATGAGTTTATATATGACAAGATAGAATATGAGAGAGGTCCTATAAACCGGAGAAAGTGTCACAATAAAGAAATTTTATTAGTAAGTAAATGTGGTTTGAAATCGGACTACTTGTTTTAGGTTTTTTCCATTGTGTCATTTATTTATTTGACGTGGCAGAAAAGTACAGAGAATATGAAGATGAACCAATGCCTGCAAATGTTCAGTATATGTACTCGTAAGAGATATTTTTATCTAATATTAAATGGACGCACAGAACTTAGCGAATGCACAGCAACCTGGACAACCAAACCCAGAGAATATTCCAAATGAAGTTAGAATACAAACTGCAATGGCAAACTATGGTCAAGTGCCAACAGATGTACAAATGCAAACTGCCATGTCAAATGACGCTGCGTTAGGTTTGCCACCATGGTATGCAAATATGAGATGGAAAGAGTTTTATACAAACCCTGAGGTGGGATATAAACAACTTTATGCAGATGACGCAAACACAGGAGTTGACCCAGAATATGTTTTCTACCAGAGGAGAAACAGAATGTATGAGCTCCAGTTAAAGAATGCTATGGAACTCAACAGGAAACGTAAGAGACTAGGCGGACATTAGATTTTTACATATAGTAAAATGGGTTTCTTCAGTAAGATAGGAAACTTCTTTCGAAATGTTGGAAGAGGTATATGGAATGGAATAAAATCTGTCGGAAAAGGAATTTGGAACGGTGTCAAAAATATTGGTAAAAGAGTAGGTCAGTTTGTTGGTATTATACCTAAAGACCCTGAACCAGAAGAACAAGCTCCTGTTATACAACAGCCTGAACCTGCACCACAGTCTAGTTGGCAACCAAATCCAACACCTCAACCGTATTAAAAAATTATATTTTTACCGTTCGATAGTAGTTGTATATGAAACTAAGTTCTAAGTAAAACGCATGGTATAATGGAATTATTCTTTTTCTTCCATCTGTAGTAAACCATACTTGAAAGTCTGAAATACTTCCACTTGGTGGTTCGTATAACTTTGTAGGTTTTTCGTAAAAGTCATTTGCCAAGCATAAGAAAGAGTTTTGGGCGCCAGAAAATGAAGCATGAACAATAATAGCAGCTGGGTCGAAAACATCTTTAAATAAATATGGTTCATCTCTTGCATATCGACTGTAAATATTTGCTAAAGGAAGTTCGACTTTCTGATTTAACATTCTTTGCAAATAATACCATGACATTGCAGTGAATTCTGTATATATTTGTTCGTCTTTCTTTGGATTGTCTTCGTAGATTTGAAATGACACTTGTGAATTTTGTTTGTCATATACAATTCTCACATAAAGTGTGCTCTCGGTATTTGCATATTCATCAGCATATTTTGCATAACATGAATTTATTTTATCTTCTATATTTTTTAACGCAGTCTGTAGAGAAGATGAAAGGTCAACTTGTATTAGCTCAATTTCTTCCCACATTTTTCGTTTCCCTTCAGATATATAATCTATATGAAACCTTACAATAAATGGAAAACTTTTATCTTCTACAGACACAAACTTCATTCTACGAAAGCCAATAGCTTTTGTGACAGATGGGTCTCTTAGCCATCTTAATGGGTAGTCAAAACGATAGCCTTCATGCTTTACGGTCTCTGTCTCAAACTTTTGACCGACATTAGTAAAAAGTTCATCTAATGGTTTAGTTGTAGCAACTCTTGAATTTTCTTTTTCTATTGGAAGCATATTTTATCTAGAATAAAAATGTCGAAAGATATTGCTTCCATGAGAGAAATACAACACAACCGACAACTCATTATGCAAGCTCTAAATAAGAACACAACAAACTTTTCAAACTATTCTAAGATATCTGAGTCATTGAAAGAAGGAAACTTAAAACTGACGATAAACCCATTGACAGACGAGTTTCTGTTTCAAGACAGTAAGAACCATACTGTTTGTATAAATCCAACAAAAGGAACTTTAAACGAGAAACCTATAAAAGAACTTCTTTTGAAAGCAGATGTTGACAACAAAGCTGACAAAGAGTATGTCATTGAAAAAGTTCAAGAAGAACATGACAGAGCAGATGCAACATATGCAACGAAAGAACATACTCATCCTGAACTAGCAGACAAAACATATGTTGACAATAAAATGTCAAGTGAAGTGACAAGAGCTGAAAACGAATATTCTAAAAAGACTCATACACATTCTATATCTGATATTACAAACTTACAAGAAACCTTAAACAGTAAAAGTGCCGTTGGACATACACATACATCTTCTGAAATAACAGACTTAAACGTTAGCCTTGAAAAGAAAGCAGATAAAACATATGTCAATGAAATATACCAAAGTTTAGTTGGAACAAAAAATATTGAAACTATTGTTGGTGACTTTTCTGTCAATGAAGAAAACAAATATTTTAGATGGGAGTTTGTACACTCCTTAAAAAATGGTATACGGTATAAACTCATTCCGAAAAATAACAATGAAATGTATGTAGGCTATATAAAGAATGATGGTACACAAGTTAAAGTTCCATTAGACAACAACTGCTACTTAAACTTATATGGAGACGAACAAAAGAAATATTTAAGAGTTTATGAAATGACAGATATGACATTACCTAACCCAGCTCCAGCACCATATTATTATGACTATGGTGTTGACGCACGTGTAGACCCAAAAAAGCAAACATTATATTTAGAATATTATAGATATAAAAGATATAATGCAATAGAAAAAACGAGAATAGTATATTATTATATAGATGACAAAAATAAATATTATAGTCAAGATTTTACCTACCCCGAAAACATAAGATTATATTATAAAAAATATTCTGACACAAACCAGAAGAAACCAGAAATAGTTACACTATATTTTAAGTTCAAAAGAGACAATCCTATATTATCTCATATGTTTGATTTAATGAACCCAGTAGGTTCTATTTATACATCTATGGAAGCAAGAAGTCCTCAAGTAATGTTTGGTGTTGGTGCATGGGAACAAATAGTCGACAGGTTTTTGTATTGTGCAAACTCTTCAAAGGAAACAGGTGGAAGTAAAACAATTACGGGTGAAAATTTACCTGCACACAGTCACTACATAGATTTAAGTACATCTCAAGCAGGTTGGCATAAGCATAATTTTGGGATTGGCACGAATGAAAAAGGTAAAGGATATGATGTTAAAGACGACGTTAAGTTTGCTATAAATTGTTACTGGAGTGACACTCAGGGAGAGGAAACCATACACATCGCGTTTCAGGATATACGCAAACAACGGGACAAAGTAAAGACTACATGCCACCTTACATGACAGTTTACGCATGGTATAGAATTGCTTAGTCGTCATTTTCAACTTCTTTAGCATATTCGTCAGGAGTTGTCTTATATTTGTTAGGAACTGTCTTTGAAAGTATACCACCTTGAACTTTGACAAGTTTGAAACGAGGTCTGACAATAGTAGTTTTATCTTCTGCTTGCAGTGTGTACATTTTGCCATGTTTGCCTAAAACTTCATAATATTCTCTTGTATACTTTCTTCTATTTTTACGAACACGAATGCGAGTACCTGTCGAGTTCCCATTGTTGTCATAGTCAATAGTATTTTCATATGGGTCGCGTTTAGGTATTTCTATTTTTACTTTGTCACCTTTCTTAAGTTTGAAGCCTGGCATTCTTTCTTGTTTGTCTCTTTTGACTAAACTATTAAATATATAGTCTTTCTCTAAGTCGGGTTGTTTTTCATTTCTTCGGGGGAGTGGTTTCCCAAACCTTTTTGTTTACGGCTATTGTAAATATTTAAAACTTGTCTCATCTTTGCCATGGAGAAGTGTCTATATTTGTCGTCATATGACATTTCATCTTCACCACCTTGTGGTTGTTTAAGTCTCTTAAGATTTTTATACAACTGTCAATGACACCAAGAGCAGAATGGTTTTGGTCGACAATGAAATATTGGTTTACATTTTTTGAACGCAGATAGTTTTTAATATCGTCTGATTTGAAAGAACTTTCACAGTCAGATGTCAGTTTTGTTGGATGGTATTTGTCAACGAATATTGTCAAAGCAGTTTTCACATCTAAAATATTTTTGGACTGTAATGGTATGGCTTCACAGTATCTTGTGTTTTGACCGACAAATATTAGCCAGTATGGTGGTCCATCTTCTCTATACCTCGGAATGTTTTCCAAGATATCCATAAACCAAGCATTTGGTGTTGAACTAAAGATTTTTATCATGAGTGCTTTCTTTGTTGCTTTAGAAACATAGGGGTCCTTGTTTGGATTCGTCATTTTTTACCCTATAAGAAATGGGTTTATTTGGCGCATTAGCAGGAGTTGCATCCAGATTTTTGCCCGCAGTGGGAACAATAGCCAGAGGTGCATTTGGAATTGGAAGGAAGATTTTGAGTACATTAGGTATACTGAAAGAGAAAGCACAACCTATTATACAAACTGTACAGAAAGGTTGGGAGGTAGCACGAGATGCAGCAAATCTTATTCCAAATCCTGAAACAAGAGGAAAAGTTCAAGGATGGATGGACAATGTAGGAAGACAAGCAGGAAACTACTATAACAAAGCAAATGACTACTATAACCAAGCAGGGCACTATATGGACCAAGGTGAAAGATTCTTTAACAGAGGATATAACCATGCACAACAGTGGGTAAACAACAACCAACCGCAACCGCCTCAAACGTGGGGAATGTAAATTTTTTTACTGAGATGAAATGAACAATACAGCATTGAGACAAATGGGTTCAAGATGGATTTGTCGACTTCCAGCAGTTACACAACCACGTGTTTGTCAAGTTCTTCCTATACCTCAGGAAGTTTTAGACCGACTTAAAAAACCTAAACAACCAGTTGAAAACAAACCAAACTAAAATTTTTTACTGAGATGAAATGACCGAAGAAGTTGAAACGGTAGATTTGACACCACAAACAAAAAGTTCAGAACCATTGTCAAAACCTGTCAAAGAACTTACAGATGAAGAGAAAAATTCAATAATAGAAAGTGCCAGGTCTGGAAATACAAACCCTAACTAAAGTCACTTTTCATAGAAATGGAACGGCTAGTATCTCAAAAAAGAAACAGACTCTCACAAATAAAATATTGAAGTCTGAAGGAGCTTTCGAGACAACAGATGGAAAAGTTTACTTCACTGACCAACAGTTCATTATAGAACATCTCATTGACTTAGAGTCGAAATATTCTAAACTTTACAACAAACACAAAAAGTTGAAAGGAAAACAAAAACAAATGGCATATGATATTTATGAAGATGTTGACGACACAACCATACCTGCAAGTGAGGTAAAGTCAGAGGAACCGAAAAGTGACGAAAAACCGATAGAAGAAGGGAAGCCAAAAACTGAAGATAAACCAAAACCAAAGTTTAGTCAACCTTCATTAGCTGGTATGGGTTGGCGTCAAAGACTTATGGCAGCAGGCGGTTATGTAAAGTAAAGAAAAAATATATTTTTTTATTTTTATAAAAATGCCCCCATATAGAATGGATAGAAAATCTGCTAGAATAAAAGCAGAGTTAGAAAGATATGGTTGGAAAGTTTCGAAGAATTTTAAATATAGGAAGGGAAGACCCATAAAAGTCTATGACAAATTGTCTGGTCTTCGCTACGAAATGGATTTGGAAACAGCACGCGCAAATTATCCAAACAGACTAGAGAGGTTAGAAGAAGAACGTCTTATGGACATGCCTTTCGATGTTAGTGAACCTCAAGTTGAAGGACACGACGGCTTTGCCAGATTCTACTGGAAACATGACGAACAATTGCATCCTTTGAGAAGGAAAAAAGGAAAAGGTGAAGAACATGCTCCCATGGAAAGAACAAGATATGCATATGAAAGTATCGTGAAGTTAGAAGTCAAATTACATCTGGTCGAACCTTTACAGTAAACTTTGACGAAGGAAAGAACAAAGAAGGCTTCATGGGTGTACTTGCTGCAATTCAAGACGGAAATAAGAAAGGATACAATCTCAGACTAACCGTAACAGATTTGGACGGTCACATTTACTATGCACATGGCAATGTCACAACAGCGCACAACTTCTTGACGCTTTCAAGACTACAAAGAGAGAACAAATGGTTGACTCCGACTCAGACATTTTGAATGCAATTGAAGGAATTGCAAGTGTAAAATTTGAATGGTACCAACCTAACCCTCAAGCAGTCAGACAACATGCTGGATACTTCCCGTTCATAAATAAGTCTGACATTGACTTGACAAGGTATGGAATTTACAATTCAATTGAAACAATTGTCAATGAACCTTGTATTCTTACATGTCTCAGGAACTCTGGTCTTGTTACAGATGAGAAGATGAAGTATCTTGAGTCATGTGTGAAGACAAGGTACATTCTCAGAGGTCAATTGGCAAAATTGCACCGTTGGCAAATGTCAATATCCGAGTCAACATACCTACAGCTAAAGGTTCTTCACATGACGACTATGTTGTTGACAAAGACTTACCATGGTTGAAGATTGTAATTGTCCACAACCACTTCATGTTGAACGAAAGTCTTACAAACCCATTGTTCGGAAAAGGCAAGTGCAACATTGTCAGAGCTGTAAACATTCTTTTCGAGAAAGGTTTGTTGGAACCAATTCCAGATGACAAGCTGACAGAAACTTTTGTACCAAAAGACGAAACAAACTTTTCATTGTTAGCAAGACCAAAAGTTGTTCCAGACAAAGTTCTAGCACAAAAGAAGTACACAGTTCCAAAAGGAGTTGGATTGTTCGGATACCAACCTGAACCAGAAGAACTTCCAATGAGGTTGCAAGAACTTCAAGATGCTATAAACAAACTTCCATTGAGACATCCAATTGACGTCAAATTGTATTGGAGAGCATCTGAGTTAGGTCAGAAGGTTTTATATGAAACAGGTTGCTTCGACGATGTTTATGAGATAACAGGAGAAGTTTCTCAGAAGATAAGAGACTCACTTGAATTTCCACGAACTGGACCCATTGGTTGCGACAAGTTCGACTCAGATGAAAAGATATACTATGTCGACCTTAACGCTGCGTACATGAGGTTCGTCCAATATATCCCGACTGGAATTCCAAACGAAGATGGTGAGTTCCCAGGAAGGAACTATACAGTTGGAAAAGTCATACAACAACTGTATGATATTAGGAAAGCTTCAAACCCCAAACTTGCAATGACACTCAAATTGCTTATGAATTCGACATGGGGATATTCCATTAAGAAACCTCAAGAGATGAAGAGTAAACACTATGAGAAGGTCGACAACTTTGTTGAAAGGTTTTCTCCTTTTGTTTTGAAGTACGAATTCACTCAAGGTCAAAGTGGCTTAGTAACCACATTAAAACCTATTGTCGAACATTGGTCTTACCCTCAGTTCGCAAAGGCAGTCCTTGACAACTACAACAAATTCTTCTCCGAAGTCAAATCCAAAGTGAAGGTTTACTATGAGAACATTGACGCACTCATGACGAACGAAGAAGGATACAACAAACTCATTGAAATGGGAATGGTCGGTGAAAAGATGGGTCAATTCAAATTGGACAAAATTTTCACCGAAGTTCATGTCCTCTCCAAGCGTAAGTACTGGGGCATACTTGAAGACGGCACAGAAATAAAACATTGCATGAAATAAAAAATTTTTATTCGAATTTGAATCGGACAGGTCGAGTTACACCATTCTTGGTCTCAAACTCATATATAACCTGTTTGTCTGTATTTTCGTCGACTATGGCACGAGACACGAACATTGACCAAACGGACAAAAAGTGTCATTTCAGATGGTCCGCAGCCAATCGCATTCGAGCACTTCGAAGAAGCCTTACGTTCCAAGGGAGAGGGTGTCTGGTGCAAGGAGAGGTCATGAGACTCTACGAGCAGTACATCCTCAATGCCTGGGAGGACAAATCGTCCTTGGATTGGCAATTCTACCAACTCCTCTGGGACGACCTCCTACGCAACTGGGATGACGAAAGAGTCCAATTCAGAGGTCAGGAACTACTTGTCCAAATTACCTTAATTTAACTACTTACCAAATAAACACCTAAATTTACTGGGGTTTCCCCCTAAAATAAAATTTTTTTACTCTTAGAACCACTCGAGGTTCTCCTTACGGTTGTTGAGCTTGTCACCGTCAATGTGTCTGACCTTCGTCTTCTTGTTTGGATTTGGAACCCATTGAATTGCGACAAGCTTGCCCATGGAGATTGAACCGTAATTCCGAAGGGTAAGGTTCAAGTGTCCCAAGTTGTTGAGACTGGGGTAAGAACCTTGCCTGTCTCCTTGTTGCGGATTTGATATGGGTAGGGTTGGGAAATTTCGTAAGTGTCATCGGCAACAAGGGTTGCCCAAACTTCCTCTTCTTTGTGTTTCTCTTCTTCCTCTTCTTCCTCTTCCTCTTCTTCGTGTTTCTCTTCTTCCTCGACAATTCCTTCTTCAATTCTGTGTTCACGAAGTACGGTGTTGCATGTTCTGTCCTTTCCGAGTACCTTCCAGATGGCGTCTATCTCTTCGAAGAAACGGTAGATGAGTCTGGCAAGGTCTCGGTTCTCTCTCGCGTAAATGCGCAAGGTTTCCGTCAAATCGTTCAGGCTTTCTCATTGGAAGCTTGGTTCATGAGGACTCACCTTTAAGCTTTCATCTCTTCCATAAGACTACTTTGGAGAGTCTTAACGGTGTTTGTCAGATGAGCTTTCAAATTCAAAATTTGAATTTGAACTGGGCGCTTGTCTGGCAACCTTGAAAGGACATCTGCCATTGAGTTTGGCTTCGGTGCTTGTTCGGACATCGAAAAAATGAAGTGGTTTGAGAATGACGGTTTTACTTCAAAAAGCTTGTTATGACAGTTATGTCATACAACAAGTTTAAAATAATATCTTGTTCTTCTTCTGAACGTTTGTTGTCTCTTCCGATAAAAGTTTCGAACATGAGAACCAAAAAACGTTTTTTGAGATTGCGGAAGAGTTCAGGCAAACGTTCATATTCTGGATATGTTGGGAGCAGTTCGAAACATCTGAGCTGACTTTCGGACAAAATTGGGACAATGTCAGAAAATTCATCTTTGGTCGGACTGCTTGAAGGTAAGTCCCTTACATGTAAGTAGCTCTGGTAAAGTCTTCTCATTTCTGCTAACTTTTGGAGTATAGCTTCGTAGTTTAGAAGTTTCAATTTTAATTGTCTTATTCCACTCTTTACTTCTAAACGGTAACTATCCATGAGGTCAAGAGTAGCTTTGGTAGCTTTAAGTGGAGCTATCTGTTCCTTGACTGCAATTTTGGTTGCAATTGTGGTTTGAGCTCCTTCAAGTTCGCCGTCTATGTCGTTCTCAACGCCTTCAACCATGGCTTGAAACTCTTCATCGGTCCATTGAGATTGGTGTGGGACGAATTTAACTTGCTTCATTCAAAAAATGAAAAAAATGTTTTTACTCAAAGCGTGCCATGTATATGGCTATAAGAAACTTACCAGAAGGCTTCTTCTTCACATGAGTCTTTGGCAACTTGAGTGTTGGTGTTGGAGTTGGGTCTGGAATTTCAATTCTCTCTCGAGCGCAACAACAGATGTCAGAATAACATTCCCCACTGTCTTTCTTGCCACCATAAATTGTGTATTGACCGAACTTGCATTTGCAGGAAGACCGGTCAATACAAGGTTCACAGTTGAAATAGTTGTACACAAACCTGTTGAGTACGAGTGTGAGTAAAAACATAAAAAAAAGTGAAGTTAAAATGAGATGTTTACTGAACTGGCTGAAGAATTGGTTGGATGTCGCCTTCTGAGGTTATGAAGAACGGCTGTCCAGAGTAGTGAAGTAGTGCTCTGAGAATTTGTGTAATTCGTGGAATTGGGCTCTCACGATATGGAAGTAGTATCCAAGGACGTTTCATGAAGAACTTCAAGAGGGCTTCTTTCTTCACATCCTTAATATCATCGAATGCAGTGCCTTCTGGAACTTGAATTGCAACACCTGTTTCAATTTCCAACTTTAAGACACTATTCTTGGACAACCAGAAGCCAATGGACTTGCTTGGTTTGCACTTGCTGAGATATTCCTTCACGGTTTCATTTACCTCAATTAGATAAATTGCTTCGTCTAAGGGGTCAAGCTCCATACTGAGTCAGTACAATATTGTACTTTTTCAAGACAATGTTGTACTTTTTCAAGACAATGTTGTACTTTTTCAAGACAATATTGTACTTTTTCAGAACAATGTTGTACTTTTTCAGAACAATGTTGTATAAATTCAGTACAATGTCTCTCAAATTTGAGTACAGCTGTACTTTTTCAGAACAAGTCTTGAACTTTTTCAGAACAATGTTGTACTTTTTCAAGACAATGTTGTACTTTTTCAAGACAATGTTGTACTTTTTCAAGACAATGTTGTACTTTTTCAAGACAATGTTGTACTTTTTCAAGACAATGTTGTACTTTTTCAAGACAATATTATATTGTTTCAGAACAAAGACGGTTAAGACACAAACGAATGTCCGACGTCCCACCTACTGAACCCGTTCCACAGCCAGAGGAACAGCATGCTCCAGCACCACAACAGTCTCCTCAGCAACCTCAGTTCCAACAAGGACCTCCGAATTACTACCAATTTCCACCTCAAGGTTACTACCCACCACAAGGCTTTCCAAACTACCCACCACAAGGCTTTCCAAACTACCCTCCTCAACCCATGCCTTACTTCCCTAACCCTTGGATGTTCATGTCAAACCCTCCACCCCAATTCCAATCTCAATCCCAATCGAAGAGAGACCAAGAGTTCGAAGAAGGTCTGAACCGTTTACGCAAAGAGTATGCCACAGCCCCTATGGAAGATGACAGGCTTTCAGTCTCTTCCCTAAGGTCGACCAATTCGACTCGTACCACAGATTCGGTTCGTGACCGTGAAGACTACCTCAAGCAGTCTGAGAGACTCTTCATCTTACACCATTTACAGTTGGAGCTCTCAAGAACATGCGCAATTACGAAGGTCAGACACCAGCTGGAGACCGCAAAACAGACGTACTCGCAAGAGCAGTCCAACTGGTCAAGACAAAGACTGAGATAGTCGACTTCATTCTTGCAGCTTGCCCATACAAGTAAAAAAATAAACAATTACGAGTTAAACTTTTTACTCTTTCTTTTCTGAGTTGTTTAGAGCTGGTTTCTCTTGTAGAAACCTTTCGTACTCTTCCATGGTCATGTAATTGCGAATTTGGTACGCAATTCCAGGTTCGTTGTTTTTGAACCTTACGTATGTAACGCTTCCATCCTCCTCAGGGAAGTAAGCTGCTAACATCTGACCAAGTTTTCTCGGTGACTCGGAGCTCATAAAAATGTCACTTTTTAAACGTTAAGTTTTTAGTCTTATTTTACCCTTTGTTTACCCTTTGTTTGTCAAGGTAGTATTGGAGTGCAATTTCTCCAAATTCTCTGTGTCGGAGTTCTTCAGCATTTTCCAAGGTGTACCTGGAGAACTCAAAGAAGTTGTCAAGAAGATACTGCCATGCTGCTCTTCTGAGTTCGTCGGTATTTTGGAAGTGTTGCACCTTCGAGTCTTCGGACATGAAAAAATGACACTTTTTCAGCAAAAATATATTTTAGGTGAAGAGGTGAGATTTCACCTCTTTTTTCACCTGTTTTTTCACCTCATGAATTTTCCCGAAATAAAAAATAAAGTTGGTTTTTTTAAAAAAATATTTTTTTATTTTTATTGTAAGAACATGTTAGCAACAACAGCACCAAACTCTTTAGTCATGAACCCAACTTCAATGTTAGTAGAGATGAAAAGCTTCATTCCTTCTTCATATACTTTCGAAACAACAATCCAGAAGATAAAGCAAGAACTTCTCCAAGGAGATTTAGATTGCACTGCAAAAGATGAAACAAATGAACAGTATCTTTATGAAATGCAGGATATTATTGACCATTTACCCAAATTGCCTGAAATACAACAACAAAAGCTTACTATTCCTGAATTCGATGAAATAGAAGTCAAAGCAACTGACTCGGTAGAAATAAAGAAGTTCATACGAAAGGTAAACTATGAGTTTCTTGGATTTCATTGCAACCACAAAGTCATGGACAAAGACTGCGATATGGTATATAAGAACATCTCTGACATATACAAATCTGGGGAGTTTAAGACCTACGACAACTTTGTTTCGTTGGTTGCAAAATGTGTATGGCAGATAAGAGATAAAGATAGAAGAGGTAAAGTATGGAACGAACAAATAAAACCAGCAACTTTTGAGTTAAAGAAAACCATTGACGCCTTAGTTGTACTTGCAGGTCAAATTTCAATGTACAATGCTAAAATGAACCCACAATGTTCTAAATGTAAAGCAGCAATGAGGAAATATAACTACTCCGTCAAAGAGATAGAACGTATGCGAAACGACTATGCAGATTTAAAGAAAGAAGCAGAGAAACCAGCAGAAGATAAAATGGACATGTTGACATTTCTGAACAAAAACTATCCAACTGCTGACGATTTCCTTCTATCTGACGTCAAGAAGAAGTATAAAGAAACTTTCGGTATCGTTAAAACATTCGATGTACTGACAGAAGAAATAGAAGCTACGAAATTGTTTAGGATTTCAAATATACATCATACAATTCATGTAAAACGCTTATAAAATAACAGGTGAAAAAAGAGGTGAAAAAAGAGGTGAAATCTCACCTCTTCACCTAAAATATATTTTTATTGAATTCAGCAACAAAATTCTGAGTAAAATAATTTTTAGGGCTTGTGTCAAACCGTTGAGTTTTCACAAAATTTAAAAAATAACGTTTACCATGTGAAACGCTTATAAAATAACTGAGGTGAAAAAAGAGGTGAAAAAAGAGGTGAAATCTCACCTCTTCACCTAAAATATATTTTTGCTGAAAAATGACCAAATTTCATGAAATTTCTCTAGACCGACTTTTACAGGGGTAGCCAAAACTCATGAAAATCGTGAAAAATAACAGAGTATTTTGACAACTTCAAACAAGTAGAGTAGATGAACTCTTTATTTTTCAAGCTTGACTTTTTACAATTTGAACTTTGTTCGCGTAGATGTGAATTCTGAAAGAAGTATGAGGGTCTTGTATGACTTTGTACTTCTCCCAGAGTTCATGTCTGTCAAACTTACCTGCCATGGACTCTTTTTCATAAGTTCCATGAAATCGTCTTCGGACAATCCAGGGAAAAGTACAATGTCAGTAAGTATTCTCTTTACATCCTTACTTAAACTCTTTGCTGTCTGTACACAAATGACAACTGAGATGTTAAAGTGTCTGAGCTTCTTAAGAATTCGACACATATCTTGTTCTCTGTTCTTTAACAAAGGAGAGGCGAAATCATCTAAGATAAGAAGACATCTGTGAGGGTAGTCTTCCAATCGTAAGATTGCAATTTCTTCGAAATGTATTCTATCTCTTTCTGTTTTTTCTGAAGTGT